GGGGGGCTCGGGGGCGGGACGGCTAACCGCGGCCAGTGGGGGCCGCGATCGGCCAAACCTGCCGCATCAGCAGGTAAATAAAACTGGCCCGGCCCGCCAGGGTGCTTACCCTGGCAAGCCGCGTGCCAAACGTTGCCGACCCCTGCTCTAGCTGCTGTGCCATCCTCATATGGCATAATTAACTCTCATCTGATCTTTCCACTTGCTTCACAGTGTCATAATGACCGGCTCCTACAACAATTTCTTCAGAATGTTTGACCGCAACACCAAGCGTGACGTAACCCTGGAGGCCTCTAGGGAAAACAGCAAACCCCGGGCCATACTCAAGCCCCGCAAAGTGTGCGTTGGGGGCAAACGGAGGAAAGACGAAATTAGCGTGGACAGTCTGGACTTCAGCAAAAAGATCTTGCATACAGCTTGGCATCCTTCAGAAAATATCATTGCAGTGGCCGCAACAAATAACCTGTATATATTCCAGGACAAGGTTAACTAGGAGGACAAGTTATTCTTTAGGAATCTCATGTACAGAATATTAGTAAACACAAGTTTTAAAATGTTTCTTTTCTTTTCCCTCCTCCCTGTTCATTTGTTTAATTATTCCTCTGCAGATACTGTGTAGAGACATGCAAACAGATTCCAATATCCCCTACCTCCCACTCACCTTAAAGCAACGGGTTGGCAAACCCAGTAGGTACTGGTATCATGGTTTGTTTTTGTTTTTTTTTTAAAGAGTTGAGAGCTAACAGATGTAATGATCCCTTCAATAGCTGGCTTGGATTTCTGATGCTTTTATTACATCCAGTACTCTTTGGTGGTTCCTAGTGTTGTTTGGTTCTAGACGTCTGCTGGTTTAAATTGAGGTTAATACTGTAGTATGGTATTTAAAAATTCAATTAAGGTCAGAAAAGAAGGTGTGTGTGTGTTGTTTCTAATTAAGCAATCCCAGGGTTCTTTTAGTATCATTTGAGACATTCCACTTGCAGAATGATGTTGCCCTTGCCAATGTTTTTTTTAAATTTGCCTTTTTTCTCCTGCATTTCTTTCCCCTTTCCCCCCCCCTCCCCCCCTCCCCCCAGTGGAGACAGCGAAACCAAACGTAAAATGGAAAGATCAGATTTGCAGTGGACAGATTTAAAATCGGGGGGGAGGGGGAGGTAGGAGGGAAAGATCAACTGTACACTCTAATCAAGGCTGCTACCGTCGTCCTTCGCATCCCACAGAAACTCTTAAGGATTTGGCTCTGTAGACACTGTGGTGCCTTTTTCTGGTATATGACATACCTTTATAAATAATGCTTCCAAAATGCATCTATTGCAAACCAAAATGAATCTGGGCTTTTCGTTTGCATTGCCTGTGTTTTGCTTTGGTCATTTTTAATTGTTCTGTTTTAATCTCTTGCATGTTATGACTGAGTCTCGCTCTTCCTTTTTTAAAAAAAATTATTTATTTATTTATATTTGAATGACACAATCTAAGTTACTAATTTATGACATTGTGGAAAAAAAGAAATACCACCACCACCACCACATACTGCTGTCTGCACCTGACCGCTTTGAAGAGAGGGTATCCATGGTTCTGTGGTATAATAGTAATAAATAAGAGCTCTTCCTCTTGGCAAGGCTGCCCCTAAGGATTACTCAGGTCCCTTCTTTATCTGAGCAATTGTACAATATAAAACTGAAATTTTATTCAATCTGTAGGTGGCTACATGTGGTGGTCAATGTGCTGTGCATTCTTGCAGCTTGTGAACAGTGGGCAAAAGAGACAACAGCTGTGATTGTTGCAGTGAAATTTACTAGATTTTTTTAAAAGGCAAAGCATACTCTTTAAAGCCTCTTTTGTAAGGCATGAGTTGGATTTCCAGCATGTCCTGCAAGACTTACCAAGTCCTATACCTTACAAGAAAGACTGACTGCCACTTACTCAAGGGACATAAATACCATAAGGAAATTACACAAACTGCACAGCTACTGGGGACCTTCACTTAATATCTCTGGGGCAGGAGGAAGTCACTGTTGAAGTACTTGGAACCAAGCTTCTAATTATTATTTAACTACTTAATACCCTGTCAGCTGTTCATGAGACTGCTCAGGACAGGAACAGATAAGTTTGCCTTGTTTAAAGGAATGATTACAAGGGGAAAAAATTATGCTGGCTTATAAATTTATTACAAAAAATTGCTTTCAGGAGTAACCTGTTTTTTAAAATGAAATGATTAAAAAATAGCAAAAGTAAACGTCTTTTTTTTTTTTTTTAAATTTCCTGTAAAGAGAGCCTGCACTCTGGCATCAGAAGTAAAATTGTCTCAAATGTGTGTTGGTGTGGTTTCACTGATTGATGTGGTCTCTAAATGCTGCATGAGCTTAAACTTTTAATGCCGGGATTGTTCCTGGGGAGACTCAAAATCAGCTGTCTGTCAGTCTCTGATCATGCTGTTGGAAGTGCTGCTAGGCATGTCAGAGGGGCCTAATAAATCCTCCTGTCTTAGTGAATGTGTGGGTAATTCGGGTGGCAGGGTGGCTCAGAGAGTGGTAGTGGGAAATAGAGCCTTTCACCTCCGGTTTGCTGGTTGGGCTCTATCCCAGGTCAGTACAGGCTTGATCCTGCCAGTGGCACAAGGGGTTGTGCTACTGCATGGATGGGATCCACAACAGTGCTGAGCAGTGTGGTGATCCTGTTGCATCCAGTGCAAAGAGCTTAGCTAATATGGCAGCCATATAGCAGAGGTGAGCTCAGAGAGGGCAGAAAGGATGTGGTGATGGGTGGAGTCAAGGCATGGCACCGCAACCCCAATGGAAGTACATTCATCAAAAAGATGCCCCTCCCCGCACTACCACCAAATTCTCTTATGCCTATTGGCTGCAAGTAGAGGGATAGGCAGGGCAGCTGCACCACAACCCAGTGTTGCTAAATACGGCAGCTATGCTTAGCTTGCTCCCTCTAGGATCTAGGGAATCCTAAACCAAGATGGCATATCGGGGGGGAAAGCCATCCCTTACAGTCTAATCGCACCTGTAGGCTTCAAGACCAGCCAGGGAATGAGGCGAACATTGAAAAACAAACCATCCTCAAGAAGATTTGACAGAACAACTTGATCATGTCAAGCTCCCTGTGAGTCTGCTTCTGCCTTGGCATTATTGCCATTAACCTTTAGTAAGCACCCAAGAGAAGCGTGTTGGTGAGAGACAAAGCACAGAGCGCTTATTGACTGCCAGCATGTGGCTCCGTCTGAGGTTTCTAAAACGCCTGGAAACATGTATAACCGCACTTTCAAAAGGGTCTGCTAATTACAGGGGCCTGATTCACCAATGTGCTGCAGTACCCATTGAAATCAATGGTAGTTGCTCATATGGAGTGAGAAAAGAATTGGAACCAAGAATTTTATATTGTCCCTATTTTCTCTTGCGTGCACACACACGCGCACACACATATATTTGTGATGAAGTTCCACAGCCATGACAGACATGCCATAGGACTTAAGGTTTCTCCCTATGAAGGAAAAGTAACTATGCTCATGGCTCTCTGTGAGGATCAGTACAGCCCCGGCCTAACTGGTGAATGGCAATTTTTAGAGAAGTCCTAAAGTACAGGTCAATGGAGACTGGCGACTTCAGAAAAGGCACAGGTGAAAGTGACGAATGAGCACATGCTCTAAACCTATTTACAGTAGCATGCAACCAGGTAATGTCTGTCATGCCCACCCTGAGCAGCCCCTACCACTACGCCTATAAATATAATGGGTACACGGTGAAATGTACAGCTGTCTGGTTTGTTTTCCTGCACTACCTGTTAACAGCTGAATACACCTCTCATGTTCTCTAGTGCAGCAAACGTTTCCCTAGTTATATGGGCATTTCTCTGGGCATTGTTGTTGTTTATGGCCATTTACAGAAACCAGGATCAATGCACAAAACTATTGGCCTGACCCTGAGATGTGCTGAGTACCAGCAACTCTACAATGGGAGATACTGATACTTGGCCTGCAGAAGGCCATAAAACAACCAGTGAAGGATTTGCACCCTGCTTTATTTTATTTAGCCCTTGATGCTCCAATGGGAAGAGCCATCCAGCTTGATTTTTGAATGCTTGCTGTAACCAGAGAAGAGGTGGCAGGATGTTCTAGAGGTGTATTAAGGGATGGTAACCAAGATTTTATAGCGGTGTTGGTTAATACAGTGTGTGAGAGACTCGCCTGATGCATTGTGGTCTGTTTGAGACTATTGGAATACCACAAAGCATGCACAAGGGATGACAGCTTACAATCAATATTGTGCTCGCTGATGCAGGAAGCAACATCATCGCATCCTAGCGGTTACCCCTACAGCCCAGCCTCAGCACTAAATATCTCTAATAACAAGGCTATATGAAGTGACAAGGGCTATTATTCTTAACCTTGCAGCCTACCCTCTCTGAACAACAGAGCTGCCAAAATCTTCCATTGGATTTTATTAGGGAGAGATGATTCAGACCCCATCATAATCCCATCACAGGAGTTAGACAAGTACTTAATACAGCAAGATAAGAAGGAAAACGATTGGCATTCCCCTTTATTCAGGGCTCCGTAAAGCATAAGTCATTGCAGCTGGATTGATGGGAGGTGAAATGCATTTTTATGGTATTTATAATAGTGTTTTAAGGGATGAAACTTGGATTTTATTGTATTGAAGACACTTATTCTAATAAATAAACCTAGTTCTCCCAGTGGGGGGTTATTATTTTGTCCTCAACTTCTGCAGTGTAATCAATGTAATATTTCATGGAGGCTGTCTCTAATATTAGAGGCTCAGCACAGGCTCTGATTGTAAAAAATATATTGATTCTACAATACAAATTTGCTACAGCCTGTGACTATAGGGATCTGTGACATCTAATGTGATTAAATTATGATAGTGTGTTTTACTTCAGAGTCAGGACTTTTCTAGAAACAAATGCACAATAATGTTTAGAAGATTTTTTTTTTTTTAAAAAAAGACCACTATGTTTGTGTCATCAGGAGGCAACATTTCTGAGTGCTTAGAGCAATAGAATTGGGAGTCAGGAGACCTGTGTTCTACTCCTGACCAAGCCCATGAACCTGTGTGAACCTGCACAAGTCATTTCACTTCTATGTGCCTCAGTTCCCCTTCTGTAAAATGGGGGATTAAAAAGAGTGCCCACCTTTTTAAATCATTTTAGATCCTCACATGAAAGTCAGTGAATAAGTTCAAAGTATTACTATTACTATAAATATATTCCTGTTTTATTTATAAGGGATTTTATATGGAATACAAACACAGAGCACCTCATCCTGCATGTTACGCTGATGAAACGCTCCAATAAAAGGTAAAGAAATACAAACCAATAATATTGTAAAGGGAGTCTGAAGCTTTAGTGATTAAACACTCCACCTAAATGATTGTTTTGATGTCAGCTTTGGCAGCACTTGTGGACCTCATGCCAATAAAACTATTGAAATCGACATTCAATTGATCATAATGGTGATAAGGGGAAGGCTTGCAGTGTATTACCCTGCCCTGTAAAGACTACTGATGATTGAGGGAAGTACAAGATACAAGAACAATTCCAGAATTCGTGATCCTTCATATGGCATTGGATTCCTAGCAGATTCTTCAGTGCTCAAGAAATGGGCAATTTTAAGTTGTCTATGGATATTTTAGTATGTTTAGAAATCAAACTGAAATTTGATTGGGTGATTTTTAACACTATACAAGTGCAAGTCAGATGTTACAGAAATGGACATGGTTTTACCATGAAGGTCCTACATCATTGTTTTGTACACTTCATGACCTGCAGTGCCATCTTCTTGAGGCTCCTCTTAAAAATCAAATGAAAACTTCACCTACTGCAGAAAGTACTGATAGCCACATTGAGCATATTACACCTGCTAAATCTGATTCAGGATGTGGGTGTTGATTAAAAGTGAGCCCAAACTAAGATGGGCCCACTGTATTGGGATAATCAGTCCAGCTGGAACAGTAGAGTTCACACACCTGAGGTCATACTGTCACCCGGGGTATAATTTGCAACTCATGCAGACATAC